AGGGGGGGGGAGCAAATAATACATTTTTTCACAACACAATCGTTTGATTTCTTTAATCATCCACAGACTGATCTTACAGGGAAAGATAGATAGACAGACAGACAGATAGATAGATAAATAGATAGATAGATAGATAGATAGATAGATAGATAGATAGATAGATAGATAGATAGATAGATAGAAGGCAAAAAACCCACTCTAGGCTCGACCGCTTACTTCATTTCCTGTCTTAAGGTTACCCTTTGTATTGCCATAATGAATCTCTTCCAGTTTTGAGAACGCCCACCGAAACAAAGCGATGGAGCTCATAGCCAATAATCTGGAAGACAGTTCTTCATATTTCTGGAAGACGAGTGGTCAGAACAGATTTCATAATATATTATATAAAAGATAGGGTCAGGTTCAGGACACACTTTGCGCTGCCCGGGATCGTAACCTATATCAAGTATGTGTTAATCAGTATAAGCTTAGTAGCTAATGTCCATCTGCACCAGAAAGGAGATACTTATTTGCACGTTCGTAAATGAAAAGGTTGTATATTAAGCTTTTGTCTGCAGCTAAAAGGAGTACATTTTATTGGACGAGAAAGACTACCACCCCTCCCCACTCCCTCCCCTTTACCCCTTTAAATCAACTTACAGGTAGACTTATTGGAGCAGAAGAGTCATAGCTTTGTTAAAAACCCATAGCCTTCCATTAAATAACAATCTCTATCGGTGGAAATTAACTAGTTAATCCTTATGTGAGAGGTGTAACTCTCATGAAATTGAAAATGAATTTCACTTTATTTTCTATTGTTCACACTTTGTCCATCAAAGGAAATTTTTAATTCCTCCAAGCCTGACTCAGCCCAGTGACAGAAATATGCAATGTTTGACTCATGATAAGAGATATGTGCACAACCTTTACCTATTCATTATGGAAACATTATTTATCAAATGAATGTTTTGTGCGATGTGATGTGGGCCAATGGCCTTAAACACTGAATAAACGTACTTACTTCCTTACTTTCTTACTTACAGGTAGACTTAAGGCCATATACATTTATAATGGTACTAATTGTACACCATGACACACATTTTGTATAGTTTATTGCATTGTTGTTGATCAATAGCGAAAGTCGGGCAGAAGTAAGAATGAGCGATAAAGTTTCATTCAAAAGAAGAGGGAAGAGGTGCGGACGTCGAAAGCAACGGTCTATTAAAACCATCTCCCTTCCTCGGCAGACTGCTGTCTACAAATATCCTAGACCCGCCAACTTTGACAATCTGATCCAAATTGACACTAGACTTGAAATACAAGATAAATCTCATCATTTTAAGGTTTCGTTCCTCAATGCACAGTCTGCCCGCAACAAAACAACACTTTTGAATGATCTGACGGTTGAATCAAATAGTGACATTTTATTCATTACCGAGTCATGGCTCAGCCCTACTGGTGACAACGTCCTCCTGCAGGAGCTAACACCTTCAAGCTACTCCATCCACCCCATTCCCAGACTGACAGGCAAAGGCGGTGGGCTCTGTGCTATCATTAGAAGCTGTATCACCACAGTGTGCACGCCACTTAGAGAATATAAATCATTTGAGGCATGTATATTCCTAACTACCATCAAGGATCACTCAACAACTTTCATCGTCCTCTATCGACCGCCCCCAAACAGAAAAAAACAAATTGACCACCGGCATGTTACTCTCAGAATTCCAAGACTTACTAGACCTACATACCACCAAAAAGACTCGGCCTATAATTTTAGGGGACTTTAATTTACATTTTGAAAATACCCTAGACATTAACGTAAAAGCTATCAAATCTATTCTAGAGACTCGTGGTCTCTATCAACACATTGGTGTCCCCACTCACATTAAAAAACACACATTAGATTGGGTGATTACGGACAGTGTCGATAGAATCGGTGAAATAAAAGTAAAAAACAAAAGCATATCTGATCACTACGTGGTGTCCTTTGAAATAACTCGTATAGGGAAGTCCAAACTGAGATACCGAAAAATAACAACCCGGAAAATGGACATTGATCATGAAAAATTTGGAGCGGACATTCGTCAGCTTCTAAAACTCGTACACGGTTCAACATCCGAGAAGGTTGACATTTTCAACTCCAAGATGTGTGAACTACTAAACAAACATTCACCAGTCAAATCCAGAACAGTGACTGATCGACCTTCTGCCCCGTGGATGACTTTGGAAATTAAACAATCTAAAATGGAAAGTAGACGAGCTGAAAGACGCTGGAGATCAACAAAGCTGACAATTCATGAGGACATTTATAGACACTGTAACAACATAGTGAAATCGTTATGTACTATAACAGAAAAATTAATGAATGTACCACCTCTAAAGCTTTATTTTGTATAACAAATCAGTTGTCTGGTAAGAAAGATCCGGCCAGCAACAAGTTTCCCACGAATGTACCTAAAAGTGACCCTCCTGATGTTTTTGGTCAATACTTTAGAGACAAGATATCCACGATTAGGAAAAAGATTGACACGACTATGCATAAACTACCGTGTTTTGAAACATTTTCTGGGGTAATCTTTAATGAATTTGTACGTGTAACACAAGAAGATGTAAGATCAATCATAATGTCATCACCCCATAAAACATGTAGTCTTGATCCCATTCCAACACCACTGCTCATCACACATCTTGATAGTGTCATTGGATTTATAACTTCCATCATTAATGAGTCTCTTCAGTCTGGAGTAGTACCATCACTCTTTAAGCATGCTTTAGTTATTCCCCTTCTCAAAAAATCAAATCTTTCCCCGGAGGAGCTCAAGAATTTCAGACCTGTCTCCAACCTTCCCTTTTTATAAAAAATCTTGGAGAAAGTTGTTTTGGTTCAATTGAAGAATCATTTAAAAGAAAACAATTTATATGAATTATATCAATCTGCCTATCGGCAATTTCATAACACAGAAACTGCGCTATTGAAAATATACAACGACCTCTTGTGTGAGGCAGATGAGAACAAAATATCAATTCTTTCTCTTCTTGATCTTAGTGCTGCCTTTGACACTATAGATCACACTATTCTTATTGAACGATTGTTCAACACGTTTGGCCTGTCTGGCAGGGTTCTTGACTGGTTTAGGTCCTACCTGATTGGTCGTACACAATCTGTGGTTGTGCACGACTCTCTTTCGTCAATTTTTAAGCTAGACTTTCGAGTGCCTCAAGGTTCAGTATTGGGTCCAATCTTGTATACGTTATATACGCAGCGCTTGGAGCTGTTATTAGAAAGCACAATATGAATTATCACATGTACGCTGACGATACACAGTTATATAAATCTGTTCCACCGTCAGATGTTGAAACCTTGCTTACTACGATGGGTCTGTGCATTGATGACATCAAAAAGTGGATGGTTGATAAAATGCTCCAGCTTAATGAAAATAAAACGGAAATTCTGTTATGTAACCCAAAGAAAAGCCATATCCCCGTAGACATTGGTCATATTTGTACTGTATTTTACTAACAAAGCAAAAAATCTGGGAGTGTATTTTGATTCAAAATTGTCATTGGAACATCATATCAATTATTTATGTACCATTTTATTTTGTGAA